TGGAATCAGGTGGCTGCCTGTCTGAATCGGGGTGATTTGGTGTCTTCTTCAGGACTCAGGACCTCCGCAGGGCGTGCACAGACCCGCCTGTCTGCAGCGGGCTGATTTGGCATGTGTTCCGTGCAACTGGGGACCTCGGTAGGGTGTGGCCAGACCTGCCTGTCTTGGGCGTCTTCTGCGGGACTCAGGAACTCGGTAGAGTGTGCACAGACCTGCTGGTCTGCAGCGGGCTGATTCAGCGTGTTCTGTGTGACTCAGGACCTAGATAGGGCATGGGCAGACCTGCCTGTCTGCAGCAGGGTGATTAGGCATCTTCTCTATCAAATATTTTTAAATCCAAAAGTTTTCAAGGACATTAAACTAAAACTAATTGGTCATCTTTTGAGAATGACTGAAAACCACTTTATATAATCTTGAAAATTGAATAAGTAAAAAAATCAAATATTTATACTTGCCTCTACTTTAGGAACTGTATTACTAGATAATCAAATAGGAGATGAGAGGAAACATTGTCTTATGGAATTATACCAGCTAATAAATAAAAATGAAGCAAGAGATTATATTACCTTTTTTGCAACCCTGGTAAATTAATGTATGTGTGTTTTGAATAATAACTGTTGTAAACGTTTAAAAAGAGCAAATAACAGACATTACATGCCTCCTGATGAAAGCTTAAAGTTTTGCCAAAGGGACTGAACTTGAATCCAACTGAGTGTCTGGATCCTGCTACAAATTTGCAGGAAAGACAAAGCATAGCAAAACATATGGAACTTCACCATAAGTAGGGAGTCAGCAAAATCCACACTGTTGACTCTGGAAGGTCAAACCTTCTGGATTTTCCATAGATACACTGTAAGAAAGAGAAAGAAATGACAAAAAAACAAATACCTTGTAGATTAAAAGAGGTATAAAAGATACAGTAAGTTTTCTTTTTAATAAGCAAGACTGAACTACATAGTATTTAAGGAAATCCACTGTGAAAAATCCATAAGGAACTGCTTACTGTGCACACCAATATCACAGTACTCTGCAAGCGGGGTTCTGCTATGACTGGGACAGATTTTTGGGAGTACTTCTGGAGAGGCTGCCAATATTCACTTATTAAAATCAGCGCTGGTTAGAAAACTGCCTTATAATAATTTTCTAAACTATATATTTGTTTTGCATGTTTTTGTGTAGCTTTGTTTTATTTTACCTAAAAAGTAATAAAATATAAGCATATCTCATTTCAAATATAACTTATATATCTACATTAAAGGTACATTTTGTAGGCAGGAATACTTCTTAAATGAGTCATGTATAGTTTTCTAACCCACTACACAGGGCCTAGAGTTCTTAAAATAAT